CCGGATAGTGGGATATCGTGTGCTATCCGGAGTAGCTCTGCTCGGTACCGCTGCGGCACCACTAGCTGCCTCATCACTATTGGGTCTGACCCCTCAATCTGCTTGTCTGTCTCCCTGTACAAAAGCTGCTTGTCCCAGACAAATCTCTCCCCCTGTCCCTGTATACCTGCAAGGTGGGGTCAGTCACTACCTCTGCTGCAAATTCGTTAGGAGGGGCCCAGGGGACACAGTCAAGGGAAGGGGAAGGGTCTCTTACCTGAACCTCCGGAAGTGTGTTGTAGTCCTGGGTGCGGGCCTGTTGACGGGTGACCACAGGGTGAGCTTCTCCTGTGGTGGACGTCTGGGGCTCAAAAGCAGATGTCAGCCTCCCCAGATCGTTCCCCAATAAAACCTCCGCCGGTAACTGCGGCATCAACCCCCCGCTCCCCAATGTAAATGTACCCTCGCTGTAGGTAGCCGGTACACTGCTCCCCCGGCTACCCTGACGGCCACAGTTTTACTCAGTCTCGCTTCATCCGATACCAGGTGACTTTTGACCAAGGTGATGGTAGCCCCCGAATCACGTAGGCCCTGTACTGCTTTTCCCTCCAGGTATACGGTCTGCCTGTGATGCTGTCTGTTATCAGCATTGGCCTGGACTGGATCCGCCTCGTGTAGTACTTCCCACTGTTCCACGGTTGTTATGGGAACAGCTGACCCATATGGTGTGGCCACTATATTTTGGTAGTGATGGGCGGCGGCTGCTCTTGGCGGTGGTGGTGGGCCGGGGCGAATCCAGGTAGAACGATCCCTCAGCTGGGGACATTCCCTTTTATAATGTCCCCACTTCTGGCAGTGATGACAGGGGCCAGAAGCGGGCTGGCGAAAACGTGGCTGTACAGCGGGTGGTGGTGGTGGTGGCAGTTGCCTCGGTGGAGCTGGGTTGTAGCTGTTTCCCCCAAAGGTTTTAAAAATGGCTTTTGGGGCTGCCGGTTTCTGCTGCCTGCGCGCATTCAAGTACTCATCGGCCTTCCTAGCAGCTTCGGTGAGGGAGGTAGGGTTTCTGTCCCTCACCCATTCCTGGACCTCGCCTGTTACCCCCTCATAGAATTGCTCCAACAACACCATTTGCAATAAGTCCTCCATGGACCGAGCCTTATTGGATTGTACCCACCCCAGAGCGGCCCGATGCAACTTGCAAGCCCATTCCACATGAGAGTCCTTATCATTTCTTTTTAGGTCTCTAAACCGTCGCCGATATGCCTCTGGCGTGATTGCATATCGGGCCAGGATCACTTCTTTTACTCTGCGGTAATTCCGAATTTCCTCATCAGGTACAGTTCTATATGCTTCAGCCGCCTTCCCTGTGAGCTTCCCTGCTAAAATAGGCACCCACTCGTCTGGGCTAATACTATGCAATGCACACAGCCTTTCAAAGTCTTGGAGAAAAGCATCTATATCTTCCTCTGCTTCTACATATGTTTTAAAGGCTTGGTAAGGAATTTTTGTCTTACCCTGTGTGATGGTAGCTGTGGTAGCATTCCTCTCCAGCTGCTGTAGTGGCCTTTGACGCAGTATAAACTCCTGTACCTCTGTCATTGTCCTGGATATAATATCCGTTGTTGGATTCTCTCCATAAAAGGACAGCCTGAACTGCACCTCTCTCCGGAACTCTTCTTTTTCAGCTCCATCTGCTGTACTCTGCTGCTCAGGGATTACCCTGTCCTCCTGCTGGTATTCAGCCATCACTTCTGCAATGAGGATTGCTTTCTTTTTATTGCTGGCTGCAATGCCTTTCGCTTCCAGGAGATCTTTTAGCGTGGATCTTTTAAGCTTGGCATAATCACTCTCCATCCGTATTCCATTGGTCCTTGTTCCCTTGTGAGTCTGCATCCCAGCGCTGCCAACCAATGTAGCGGAGATGCAATATTCCCCAGGTTATCTCCGCTTATAATCCAAGTGAGGCTCAGGAACAAGTAGAGAATAAATCCAAAGGCAAGGTTTCCAGCAGGTAAAATACAGCAATATCCCAACAGCAATCCCAATAACTGGACGACACACAGTTTCAGGAGCAGAACTGACAAGCCTTTAATCACAGTCTCCTTATAAAGCATGCTCCCATGCAAGGGAGGGATTTACAGTAATTAGTACAGTAGCCAATCCTGTCCTGGTAACCTCCCACACATCTCCCCCCCTCAGCCAGCATCATAATCCCCTTATCCAGTACACCAATTCCCCCCGTTTCTGGATGTACCCCTAAACGTAGGGGTACCTCTTTAAATCATACATCCCCTGATAGCCCTGATCTGGGTGACCAACATATCCAAAAATCACCCAGATCAGACCAGGGGTTCGGGAAAAGTATGGAGGGAATAAAATGACCGACCGCACGAACAGAGATAGCCGAATCCGGTTCCATGTGAATGGTCCCTGCGGTCGGTCCTGGCATAAGGGAATAAAATACATGAAAACCTCTAGCTATAGAGGCTAGGGAGGGTTCGCCTGATTCCCCTCGTTCGGTATTTTATATCTACCGAACGAGGGGCCGTTCGGTAGTTTGGAACCGAACGGACCAGGGCTGTGGAGGTCTCAGCGGTGTTCGCCTGCTCGAGTGTCCGATTTTAGTTCCAGACACTCGACGGCAAAACACCGCTGTTCGGGAGTTTTAAAATGGCCGCCGCCACGTGTTCGTTTGTCGAATGGCGGCCACCCCCGAGAACAAAGGACGGCTACTTCCTAGTCAATTACCCGTTCGCAACAATGTTTCAACGGGTAATTGAGGACACACTTTACCCAGGGGAGGTCTGGTTGTTCGGTAGTTTCATTCGAATAAACTAAGGGAATGAAACTACCGAACCATCACAAGAATACAAGGCTATAAAACACATAGAAACTAGCAGATCACACGAATGCAATTATTTTCAAAGACATTTGCAGGACAGCCCAGTGCCATCCGCTACATAAACCACTTCAGCTTGGTGAATTGCAATCTGTGTGGGGAGCATCTCCTCCTAATTGCTGTGTATATAAGTGTTGTTTTCGGTTTGAAATTAGCACTTTTATAACTGTCAGATTTAGAGAGCTAATGGAAGTGACAAGTGTTCTCTGCCAGAGAGTGCCTACCTTCTTCCCAATCACAAATATGCCTGTCCGCAGACTTCCTGGCTTTCAGCCTCAAGAACGCTCTTGTGGCTCAAAGTTAGAGGCTTCTCATTGAGAATCCTCTGATATGAGTGTTCCCTAGCACAGAGATTTAGAAAAAGGGAAGGGGAGGAACTGCAGCATTTGCAAGCTGTTTTTCAATATATCCCCAATCAATAAATACAGCAATGCATTCATGTTTCATTGAAAGTATATCTACTAAATTAGTTTTTATTTATTTTTAAAAGATTACTGAAGTCACCTATACCACTTCATCTAAATTAAGTGATTTGGGTGCAGCGGTCCTGTCATTTTAACCCTGCAATGCAATTCATTGCAGTTTTGTAGAAATTACAATGTTTAAATTCTGGGTTAAATATGCCTCTAGTGGCAGCCACAAGAGGCACTCCTCCAGAACTGAGTGTTCATTGGATTGGACAATATTGTGAGTGACATCCGCTAGAATGCTGACATCGACAGAGTTGGCACTGAAGACTGTACCAGAGGAGTCTCAGCATAGGAAATAAGGTTGTTTTTTTTAATCTAAAGGGATTCTATAGTGTTAGCAATACAAATCTGTATTCTTAACACAATCGTGCCTCTCCACCCCACCTTTTCACCCCCAACCCCTCCCACAACCTCATGGCTCTCCAGCATTTAAAGGCTTAAAAACTCTTTAGTCTCTTACCTGATTCCAGTTTCGATGTCCCTCAGCGCTGGGTCAGCATTTCACCTCCTCCGACGGACATTTAATCAATGCTTTCCTTTGGGGATTTCTCTGAGAGCAAGATGTTGACCAGCATCATTTAATGGAATCCAGGAAGTGCCTCTAGTGGCGGTCTGATACACAGTCTCTACAGGCAGTCTTAGTCCTGCAAAGTAAATATTGCAGTTTCTCTAAAACTGCAATAATTTACATTGCAGGACTAAGGGGGACAAGAACATTGCACCCAGACCACTTCAATGAGATTGCTATAGTGTGCCTTTAATGTAGGTTTCACTGAGCAAAAGGGGGGAGAACCAGTGACCACATCGCTAAAAGGCAATCTATAGTTTTGACAATACGATTGTTTTATTTGAGACAATAAGTTCGCTTTAAAACTGGGGTGATTGAATGTGTTTTATCTTGTTCTTTTCTTCTCGCTTCATTGCCTAAAATACTGGAATACAGAGTATTCTCGCTGATCAACTGAGAGCAGCAGAGAACTTGTGGCTGCACTTAGCAAGAGTAGGGCAGAAGGGATGGGGAGATGTCTGACAGCTTTACTATGGAGGCACTTGGTTATTGTAATAGTTGTTAAGTATTTGTTTCACATTACACTTTTTAGAGATTTGGATGCTGTCTGATCTGTAGACAGGTCTCTATACTGCAGCATAAGGCAATGCATTTTGACATAGGTTTACCAGATATTTTTGAGTTGCAGGGCCAAACATGGAAAGACTCCAAATTAATTTTTAAATGATGCCAGTTTGCGTTTCGTGTGCATCTCTCATGAATTAAAGATCTCTTTGTTTCTTTCACATGGCATATTTGTCTCATTTCTTGAGGATAGCGATTGTTAAGGAGAGTCAAGGTTAGGTAATCATATTCTCAGGATCCGATTTTCCATTAGACAGAGCAGGTACCTGCCTACAGACATCTGTCCACTAGGTGGCGCCTGTTTTCGGCAAGTAAAATAATTCTATGCATACAGGCACCTGGCATGTAAATTCAGCCCTGAATATCCTAGCTGGATTAAAAAAAATAAAAAAAAACTACCATGTGTAAATATTTGAGTCAGAGCTATTGAGACAGGATAAAAATAAATGCAGTGATAAAATAATTTGAATTGTTTCCTGTTTCACTTATGATCAAATTAATTTATGCTTAAATTCTCCATAGGTGGAAAAGGTGATGCCCAATGACACATTTTATTTCACTATCCTACGGAACCCTGTCTCACAAATGGAATCATCCTTCTCGTACTATAAGGGTATGGATATATTCTGGAAACCTAAAAGCCTAGAAGAATTTCTGAGCAACACTTCTACGTATTATAATAGGAGTAGTACAAACAGCCATTACGCCAAGAATTTCATGGCATTTGATTTGGGCTTTAACCACAATGGCTGGGAATCTGCAAAGAACTTTAAGTTGATATGTCAGGCAGTGGATATCATGTTTGATCTGGTGCTAATTTCAGAGTATTTTGATGAATCTTTGGTGCTTTTGAAGAATGCTCTTTGCTGGACATTTGATGATGTTCTATCAATTCCTCTTAACAGTAGGAGTAACAAAACGAAAAAATCCCTCTCTGAAGAAATCCAGTATAAAATTCAGAGCTGGAATCAGTTAGACTGGCATCTTTACGTATACTTTAACAGGACTTTCTGGAATCAAGTGGAGAAGTTTGGAAGGAAGAGAATGGAGCATGAAGTAAAGGAACTTCGGAGAAGGAGGGCAGAAATAACTAAATTCTGCTTCCAAGGTGAAGTGGACCCAGACAAAGTAAAAGACAAGTTTCTGAAACCCTTTCAAGCAGGAATAGCCAAGATCCTTGGTTACAACCTAAAGCCAGGACTGAAAGAAGACAAGGATTTTTGTCAGAAACTGGTTACCCCAGAATTACAATACTCTAAATTGTTGTGGAAGAAGATCCAAATGCATAGCCCTCCTAAAGGAAGAGAGAGTACAGGATTAGGGGTCAATAAGCATTCTAACAATTTGTTTTCAGGTCTAGTTAAACAAGAACGAGCATATTCCTACAAGAATCACTCAAATTCCACAATTGGCTCATAGCAATAAATATTAATATAGGTATTTCTTGTAGCAGAAGTATAAAAAAAAAGTATTTTATTATGTATGGAACAATAGCTTGAAGAAATAATGTTGCAGCCTGAAAATGTGGGAAATTTCAGTCTTATTCCATTGTACAATGTTATTCCTCCCCCTTGCCCCCCCCCCAAAAAAAACTATTTTATAATACATTTTCTCGCACTCTTGACGTCTCTTACTTTCTATATGTTCAGTATCCATTTTTATTAAATATTCAGTCTATCAGAATGCTGCAGGAAGACAACTAAAAATGCGAACGATCCAGTATGTGACAAAACAACATGTGATAAACCATGCCTGTATCTCACACTTGTTTTGTCACATTTCTGTATCTCATGCAAGGTTTGGGAATCCTTGTAGATTTGCTGCTGCATGTTCACCTGTCTTTTTTTCTGTAAACGATCAGGTATGGTTATAACTACTGCTACAACACGTGGAATGACAGAGTAGAGGAATCAAAGAAGACAGGATTAGGGGTCAATAAGCATTCTAACAATTTGTTTTCAGGTCTAGTTATGGATAATGAGACATGAGCTGTTGGGTAGGGACAGTATTTCCTTAAGGCAGCTAGTTAGGAGCATAATATTACATTATCTTACAACAGGATAAATTATCTTACAACACTGAGTTTTTGCCTAATCTTACCAAATAATTACATCAAGTCGTTCATGTTTATCTTCCTAGCAACCTGGTAGGTTTTCAGCAATATGTAACAGTTGCTGGACTAGTCAAGGTACAAGTAAGCCTAATATTAGGGGGCTTTATTAATTATCAATTATTTCTGTTCTGAGATTAGGTGGTATTGTTTTTTGCTCAGTTCGTCTGCTCCAGCACACCACAACCGTCTTTCTCTTACTGGTATATCTCAAACCTTATTGTATGCCCTGAGCCTTTAACCCCAACCCTACATATACACACACACACACACACTACCTCCAATAGTGCTGCATAAAGGGAATTTACTTTATAAATAGTAACTGTTGGGGTAATAAAAAATGAATAAAAAACATTTATTTATTTATTTAAACACATTTAGTGAATAAACAGCCATATTGTCAACCCTAACATCTGGTTTTCCTGCAGATTTGTGCCCGCAAAAACCCATTTGACACTCTTAGAAAGATGTCTAACAGAAAAAGTACTGGATTCCACAAATATCTTGATGAAACCATTGGGTAATTGTAATAATTTTAAAGCACGTTGAACACATTTTTGTAACAAGTTGAATGAATCCCCAAGAGAGAAATGTCTTGTGGAATTAAATTGGCCATGGCACCACCAATCACACTTAGTGAGCAGAACAATGCAGACACACTTTGTTAGATTATATTTTATTACCTTTCAATCCAGCTTAGACTGGTTGTTAAAACTCAAATATGAATGTATTAAACTATTTGACACAATATAAACTGGTCATTATACAATGGAGGCAGTAGTGTACAAATATAATAAACTTATTAAAGCAGTGTTTCTGGCACGCTGGATTTGAATAGCTTTGCAGCAAGTATATGCCATTAACCCCTTAAGGACACATGACATGTGTGACATGTCATGATTCCCTTTTATTCCAGAAGTTTGGTCCTTAAGGGGTTAAAGGAGACCTCAATTTACACAACTGAGTAAAGCATTGGAATTGACTAAAAAGTGTGTTAACATTTTTGTTTTCTTTATATGAGAAGCTCTGTTTTCTTTTAAATTAAAGATGACATAATAATCCCATTCAGACAGTGTAAAGCCAGGGTAAGCATTGCAAATTAAATATTATTTAATTTCTCCTCTTTAAGGACACATGACATGTGTGACATGTCATGATTCCCTTTTATTCCAGAAGTGTGGTCCTTAAGGGGTTAATGTGTGCTCTCCCTATGCTGACTGCCAGTTGCAAAGAGCAAAGCTTATAACAATGGCTGGCACGGATATTGAGGCACCCAGTTGCTGGAAAATGTGTTTATTTTAACTTATTTTTCACAGCTCACAAACACCTCTAAAATGAATATTTGTTAAATAAAGAAATAAGTAAACATAATATCAAAAATTCTGGCAAATATCCGATACCCTTTAATATCAATATTAGTATTACTTGTAGTGTAACTGTATTACTTTTAGTGACACTGTAAGCCGGGAATGGCAATAGAGAAGTAACAATGGGAGTGAGGGCAATTGTTAGTAAAATGATAAGTGGAATTTACAGACTAATACAGTGTTGATCTTCTTCTCCATCTTCATATCAGAGGCAGCATTGACATTTAACTACTTCTATTTTTTTGACTGTTCGTTATTTGGTCTCCGTTGACTGGCTTCACCGGTTTTCTTTTTAGATGGTGACTTGACATCACCAGATGTTTTAGCTGAAGGGGCTTGGAGTGTTTTTCTTTTTGGGGTCTTGTATTTTCCTTTCTGATTGTATAGAAGGTTCCTCTGGAAGAGCAACGGGATATTTCCCTCATGTAGGAAGAGTGCTAGAACCATGCCTACAGAAATAAAAAAACAAAAACAAAACAATTATTCATCTTGTCTTAAAGGGACTCTCCAGTGCCAGTAAAACATATCCATTTTCCTGGCACTGTAGGTTCCTGCAATGCCCCTCTCCCTCCCACTCCCCATCCCATGCTGCTAAAGGGGTTAAAACCCATCAGACAGCCACTAGAGGGACTTCCGTGTCCAGGCACCCAGACCACTCCAATGGGCAGAAGTGGTCTGGGCACCTGGAGTGTCCTTTTAGGACACCATTATAGGTTAAAGTTAGAAACAAAAGCTTAATTATTGATCCTATTAAAACAAGCAGATATGTGTACAGATTCTGTAAGTTCATATGGCATAATAATTCTGCAAAAAACTTGCTTTATAAGGTCCTAAATCAAAATGTAATATCACTCATTTAAAGCGGCACTGTCACCGTATGGGGACTTTGTAGAATTTGCAAAGATTCCATGGTGACATCACCGCTGGAAGTCAGGTGGTCAAAGGAGGTGACAGGAAAATGCGAGTACTACTTACCCGAACCTTTCCCTCGGGGGCACCACCATCTTCTTTCATGGATCTGCTTCAGTGCCAGGAGCCGATGTCACTGCTGTGCTCGCTCTCATGTATGTGTGAGTGCAAAGCATTGTGGTCCATGGAGTGTCCTGTAATTTCCATCAGCCATCACTGATGATGGCTGGGGGGGAATTGACACTTCTAAACAGGGTTCTAGTATTTATCACACAGACTATGAGCCCAGAAACTATGGAGTGTGATTTGGGCTTTTGATACCCTTTGTTATGGACTGGAGAATTGTAACAGGACAAGCTATCCACTCAACCAGCTTCTGTCTCCAGAGACTGCATTATAGTTTGCTTGTGGATGTTAATCTTCTGTAAGGGGATTAGTGTAAAAGTTATTATTTTTATTATTTTTATCGCTATTTATATAGCGCCAACAGATTCTGTAGCGCTTTACAATATTATTAGAGGGGGGATTTAACTATAAATAGGACAATTACAAGAAAACTTACAGGAACAATAAGCTGCAGAGGACCCTGCTCAAACGAGCTTACAGTCTATAGGAGGTGGGGTATAAATACACAATAGAACAGGAAATAGAAATCAAATAAGGTGGGAGGGAAGCAGAGCTGGAGGAGAGAGTAGAGTGCTGCCTTTTAGGAGAGAGCAAGGGACAGGTATGTGAGGTAGAGGTTACTCTGGGAGGCCATAAGCTTTCCTAAAGAGATGGGTTTTAAGACACTTCTTAAACGATTGAAGACTAGAATAGAGTCTATTGGCGGTAGGCAGGTTATTCCATAGGAAGGGAGCCGCCCGCGAGAAGTCCTGCAAGCGTGAGTTGGCCGTACGGGTGCGAGCAGCAGACAGGAGAAGGCCATGGGCACTGCTGTGCTCGCTCTTGTGTATGTATGCGTTATTGTTTGTGTGTTTGGTTAGTTTGTATTCACTCTTCCTTCCTGATGAATAAAATATTTTTAAAATGATCAAGTTAGTTAAGGTGATAGGTCAATGTGTTAATGTAGTTAATCGGTTAATGGGATTAAATTAATCCTTTCTGTACAAATAGCCCTTTTCTCCGCAAAATACAAGAAATTGCTTCTTTACTCCATCAAGTGTGTGGATATTAGTATTGGTATTAAACACCAATTATAAATGTATTTGTAAAAGACATATTCTGCTAAAAGTGCCATTGAAGTGTAAAAATATTGTTAGTAGCAATTCGATTTTTTTTTATTTTATGAAGTACCCAGGATGTTATAATAATGCATACATGAACATTAGCTAAAAGTAGTGTGATAAACATTTATGCATTTTACACAAATGTTATAAAACATTTGCCCGTCATTACCAAATACTTCACTTCCAAGTATTATGTCATTTAATTTTGCTTTGATTATAATTAACTCACCAACCAAAGATCCGACCCAATAGACCAAAGCATATTCTTGGAGACTGGCTCCCGAGCAGTGGAATGTCAGTGATAAAGCCAATGTAGGATTAAAAAAACCTCCAGTGTATGAGCCAGCTAGGAGAGCAAACATAAGACAAATACAGTTTATTACTCATATATGCAATGCGTCATCCTTTTACAAACAAAATAATTATTTGGATTCAAGCCAAAACAGAAATGCAGGCTGAGGAAATTGTTTTTTCAGATGTCCAACAATAGGTAATGAATGGCTATTTAATGAACAATCAAATTGTGTCAATAATTTGATAGCCTCAAATTCTAATTTAGTATAGCAACATTGAATGTGACGGCAGATAAGAACCATTCGGCCCATCTAGTCTGCTCAACTTTCTAAATACTTTTATTAGTCCCTGACCTTATCTTATAGCTAGTATAGCCTTATACAAAAACAGAAAAATACTATATATATAAATCACTTAACTTAGTGCAGAGCTGGCTGAGTAGCTGGGAGCGGAGGCAACCCTAGATCACGTCACTACGCAATAATCACGTCACGTGACCGCCGGTAGTCACTTCTGGGTACACACGGAGGGATTGAGGGAGTTTGTCACTATTGGCTTGCAGCTGTATCCCATTTCTCCTACATTCTATATAGTATAGCCTTATGCCTATGCCACGCA